TGTAGTCCAAGCATAACAAGAAGCTACACAGACAAGATTTTTCAGCCGGCAGCCACAAAGCCACCGCGAAAACCCACCAAAAGCTCCGTGCCTTATCGACTCACTGCCGCTTCCCGCTTTCCTAAAAGATAGGAAGTGTCCGTAGCCCAAAAGCTTAGAGGTTAGCTTAGATCGTATACTACGACTATGTACGGCCATGTTTGTAAACTCTGGATAAAGGTTATAACTAATGAAATGGCAAGTAACAGTTAAGTGGATGATTACGCAAGTACGCAGTGATACACACGCATAGATTTACGTTTTTTAGAACAGAAAATATGCTGATAATAGACCTTGAGGGTACAAACATTGATAAAACGAATTCATATGGGGAGCGGCGACAAAGCAATACACATTCACCGCGATAAATATATTCACAAACATGAGTGAGGAACTGCCAGTGTTAGCGCGCAATGCAGGGGTTTCTCATGCGAATCAACAATCCATTCGCGCCTGAGTATCGTTCAGGCAACTGTCAGTTCTGATCCAAACCCATTTTCCTTATGTTGTGCAACACTTCCTCTGGAATTGTGTGCGTCTTCGTCGGTGACTGCAGCGTCTAAGAGAAGCTGTAATTGACTACGATTACAAACATCATGAAATGCCTGCAAAAGAGAGAGTAGTTGGAAATATATAGATATACATCAAAGACAGACATTAGACAGAGAGAAACGCAAGACAAATATGGTACAGCAATTAGTGGAAGTATGAAAAGCCCTAATTTCATTTCTAGGAGGTAGGGAGACTTTATCAAGCCTTGACGATAAAAAGAGACAGAAACTAGTTCCACATCACAGCTGTAAATAACTATCGTCGATTCGTTGACTGCGCGGACTGGACATAACCGCGGAGCACGCGCCGCGAGGTAAAACGCTTGCTCCAATACAAGATCGCCATTGTTCGTGCTCTCGCAACATGTTAACCGCGCCGCATGTGGTCCGCAGCGCTTCAGCAGTCCGTACGGTCAACGAATCGACGATAGCTGCGTTGACGAACGACTGCGTGCCAAACAATTTTCCGTAAAACTGTAAACCTTTTATGTGTTCACTGTACAAGTACAGTCGAGTCATTTCATATGATCATGTGTGCACCCGCACACACCGTCCATCTTTGGCGTCCCCATCTCAGATTTGCGATCGCAAAAACACAGAGAGTGAGCAATTGCTATCGCTTACATCATTTAGAGATAAATAGTACCTAAAAAGAAAAGAAAACAGCGAGAAAACATCAGAATCGCTTAACGGAAGGGTTGCGTCCTCCAAGAATCCAGGACGGGTACGCCAAAGATGGACGGTGTGTGCAATGGCACACATGATCATATGAAATGAACCGACGGTACATCATTGAAAAGGTGCGCACTGTGTTTCGATTAATGCACTTGGCTTCGAAATGAGAATTTTACTTTTTGAAAAGGTCGATCGGTAGAAACACGTGCGACGAAAACAACTTACGCTGTGTGTGGCACTCAGACTAAACCTCAAATCAATCCTTCCTCACTCAATGAACTTTGCGTACAACACGCTGGCGTGGAGTGAGCCGTGATGGTCGTTCGTTGCGTAAAAGGTCATGTTTTCGCGTGTAATCCGCTGAGGCTGAGAGTTTTTTCTCGAAAAAATTATAAACACAGGATTGAAGTAGCAAAGCATAGCGACGCCCTCTAATCAATAAGCATTTCGAAAATGGACGCATGCGAAACGCAATGATGCAGATCTTTGAGCGCAAAGAGAGCACGCTTGTAGTCGAATGATGTGACAGCGGTGAAAATGTTGAGAGAAAGGCACTTTTATGTTTACATTCGTAAAATGAGTGAATAGATGGTTTTTTACGGTTTTCGAGAGAGTTTAAAAAAGAGTTTTTATTACATTGCGCAGTGGATGTTTTGATTAAAAAACAAACGGGGCTTTCATTAAGCACTTCTTCCGGTTGGATAGGCAGTCAAACATAGAGAACAAAAGAAATCTGATATATAAAGAATTGTTAGCTCAATTCAAAAATCTTCAAATAGCGGGGAACCACGACGAGTCCCGAAGCAAACGCTCTTCCAAATAGCGCCTATGGCCCCGGGCAGACTTCACGCGATTTGATCGTCGCGACTGAATCGCGAGGAGGCAATTGTTACAACATCATTCCATGCAGATCAACTTGCATTCGGTTGTGATACTTTTCCAGACCGAAATTTCTGAATGTGAAATAAAAATGAATGGAAATCTTGGCGATTTGGTCGCGACGATTAAGTCGCGTGAAGTCTGACCGGGTCTATAGGTACTGGTTCACTAGTACTTGAAATGAAGCACTGAATGATAACGAAAATGAAAACAAAGAAAAGCAAAGATGAAAACAAAGATTAGGCAACAAGAAATGAAAAAATGACGCGAGCCCACGCTGCCAATCTCGTTTGCCTGCACATCTAACTTTTCTGGTGCGATCAACAATGTCTCGAGCGGGCAACGATATGGCATCCAGTTGGCAGCCACAATACGGCGTTATGAATTAAGGCTGCCTGCTCATAGCATTGATGCGGCCCGCTGACAGAAATCTTGTATTCGCAGCCCCATCGCTTCACGGTCGCTGCCAGCTTAACGGAGTCGCTGCCTCATCGTCGCCTTTTGGCTGCTTTTGTAGGAATGAATGCGCTCTGCAGCTATTTTCTGACTCATGGAAGATTATAGCTGCCCGCTGGTAGCCCGTCGCTGCCCGCTCACCGCCATTCCTACAATGTCGTCGCCCGCTCACTGCCACTTATGCAGTATCGCCGCCCGCTCAGTGAGACTGCCCTTTATCGCCGCCGGCTGAGAGCCTGTGATTGTCTGAGTAGACGCTGCCTTTAAAATTCGCGAAAGAACATGTTCGAGCTCGTGTTGTTCAACATGCTCGAACATGTTTCTCCATAAGTTCTAATCAGGGTCAAGCGTGTGATGCGACTGTCGCAACGGGGAGTCGTAAAGGGCGCACCGGCTTTGGGGGGGGGTCGTAAGAGAGGGCGTCCGAATAAAAAATGTGTGGAATGTAGGGAAAAAGCTTCTCAGTCGCAAACATGCTCTACTCTCCAAAAAACAGCATTTTTCTCCCTGCAAAAAAGGTGTCGCAGACTGGGATCGAACTTGCTGGCCACATTTATAACCGAAGATTCCAAAGACACTTTCAGAATCTCAAACACTAGGCATTATGTGTAACAAGAACGTTAAATGTACCAATTGGCCTAAAAACCCTGCCGAAGCATCACTGAAGTCTCACACACTTGACAAAACGCTCACCTCTACCAGCGATGATCATCGATAATTTTTAAAACTTTTTTGTTATGTTTTTCAAGGGCCCATACAATTTACTTGTACTTTGAAGATGCTCTGCTACAGTTGTGCAAAATCTGGTTATATTTTATAGGCTGTGGATTTTTAAAAAATTTTATGTATGGCAACAAAAAATGAGAAAAGGGGGGGTCGTATCTGGGTCGTATTTAAATTTCTCCGGAGCTATTCAAGCTTTTTGGCTGCAATCTTGCTGTAATACGAGGCCATCTTCCTACTTCCCATCGTAAAAATTTCAGGCTGTTTCATTACATCTCCATATATAAAATTTTGAGCTTAAAACCCCAGTTTTTGTTAGGATCGCATCTAAATCTGCGAGAGTCGCATCTGAATTTTTCGAGCTCACTGCTCCTTAAATGCCGAAACTATTTCCATGAATAGCCTGGAAATATTCTACAAAACCGGTTCATTGGAGCCTCTTAATCTTTTCCCGACTTTAGTTACGAATTTTCAAAGTACCGTGCTCATACACGTTTTTTACATGGTTCTGTATGGCGCTAAAACGGTTTTTTTTCACAGGAAGGTATGTGCAAAACGTAGGAAATAAGCTACATAGTCGAAACATATTTCACGCTTCAAAGATATCGTTTTTTTTTTCACCGAAAAAAATAGTGTCCTTTACGAGGACGAAACACGAGACTGTCATCACAGTTTAAAACATTCTATTAATTTCCAGAACCATTGCCAATATCTTTCGGTACCAATGAAACATGAATGAGTTATGCCGAATATTTATGAACGCCAAAAGAGTTTACTTGTCGCTAGAAAAAGATTTAATATAAAATAGTCAATTATGACCCTGAATTGAACTGTTCCCGTGCTGAATTTTCTTGGTTGTTATTGGTTGCGGGGGTTTGGAGTATGTAGAGAGGGGGGGGGGGGGAGGTCGTACGAATGGGCACTTCAAGAAGAGGGGGGGAGGGGGGGAAGACGTAAAAGAGGGCCTAAGATCGCATCAACACGCTTGACCCTGGTTCTAATACTAAGTCTCCAAAACGCGTTAGGACGCACTCATGAGCATGTTAATCAGACGTACGCAAAGGGTGCTCACGTCTTTTACAAGGGAATGATACCAAAATAATCACAATTTGGCAAATGAAGAATATATGTAAGTCAGACGTCTTCAAACGCTGAGGAATTGTGACTACTGACGATTGGAGAACTCCCGGAAGCTACTTTTTGGGAAAGAAATTAAATGTATTTCTATTTCAGTACCTCCTTGCATATATGCTCATTCATCAAGCAGTCTTAGTTATTCCTTAAGGTTTACGATAAAAATGTTGGGCCATCTTTACCGTTGAGATCAAAACTTTCCGAGATATCAGACATTGAGTCATGTACATAACACATCTTGAAGCTCTGCAAAGACTTTTATAAATGCCTTCATTCAAAAAATATTTGTATCATTTTTTCCACTTTCTCAGAAAGTGTTGTATGTCCACATATGGATTATTTTTCCAGATTGTGAGAACATAATCTGCATGTTTTGCAGCTCTATTTCAAAAAAACATTGATAAAAGAGGCACAAATGGTTGATAAGAACCGTGGCGTACTTTTAAGAAGCTTAAAATAATCAGTATTGAAGCACTCATTTAAACAATCACAATGATTCAACTTTTCTCAGCTCAATTTTCAGTAAAATTCTTATTATTTAGGATGATAACTTTATTGCTACTCGTCGCACTTTCCGAGTTATCTTCAACGGCTCCAATACTTGAGTTGACACCAGGCAAAGTGCAAGGATTCGAGTATCAAACAGGACACAATGTCACAGTAGAAGTTTTTCTCAACATACCATATGCTGCACCTCCCGTAGATGAGCTCAGATTTGAGGTGAATAATGCTGTCGCAGTTTTTGTGCTTATATTTTCACAAAATATAATATATCTAGAGGCCCAAAGCTGTGACGCCGTGGGCGGATGTACGCAGCGGTGAAAAATTCGGACCTCAGTGTCTTCAGTTAGTCCAAATGGAGAACACTAGCGAAGATTGCTTGACGCTTAACATAATTCGACCAAGGATTGAGGTTCATAGTGATCTTTTTAGTTTATGAAATTTTAAGAAATGCTTAGGGCCAGTCGACAAGCCTACCTATACTTTTCTGGGTCCATGGGGGCGGATACGAACTGGGTTCAGCTACGCAATTTGGTTACGAAGGTTTCGCAAACATTTATGCATCCAAAGGCATTATAGTGGTCTCAATACAATATCGTCTTGGTGTTTTTGGTATGATTTGATGCCCTTAATTTTTGATTATTTCCCATATTATTATTTATAATTGTCATTTTAGTTTTTCTTACGATTCGTTAACGATCAAAACAATTCAAAAAAGTCGCTAGACTTACAATGTATAGAGGGTATTATGCCTCGGATAATCTCCGCCCGCGCAGACAACTGGCACGAACTTTTTTATTCGAAAACGCGCATTTATGAAAGATATCCGTACAAAACGTAAACTAACTACATAACGCTCTACGCGGTTCAGGCATGTGTGACTAATATTTCTAGGGACAGTTCGGATGTTTGCGATATCAATTCAAATTCTGTTAGCAATTTCCAGAATGTTTTCTATTTTGAATAAAAAATTCTACGCTTCGCAAAAAAAAACGATTTTAAGGATTCTTTTCCACGGGCGATGAACGCGTTTCTGGAAACTTGGGATTATTCGACATGGCGGAAGCGCTGAAGGTAAATTCTAAGCGGATATTTGGACGTTAATTAATTTTTCTTCAGTTCATATACACGAATGCTGAAAACATCGGCGGAGACTGGACACGCATCACCGTATGGGGCCACAGTGCAGGCTCAGCGGCAACAGGACAACTTGCCCTAAGTCAACTGACTCGAGGTTATCACTAATCAGACTGAGAGCGAGACGAGAAGGAGAACATGGCGGAGGGGAGAATGGGAAGGAGGGGGGACGGGAGGGGTAAATGCTCTAGTTTGATTTGTATTCTTCCTACATGTCTTGAGTAGAGCGCAACAAGTCGGTAAAGGGCAAGCCGCAAATAGACAACCCGTCCGCAGTTGGTATAAGCTTCAGTATGTAAAGAAGCGCTGTTTGTGACACATATCAGCGCGAGACTTATCCCACCGGCAGAATAACCTTCTCTACAATTGTCAAGTAATCAAGCATGAGCTTTCAGAGTATATCGCCCAAACCATTGAAATGTCCGGCTCTCCGTGGGGATCATGGGCTATAGGAGCTGGTGTAGCACATAACTCTTTGGAATTGGCAGAGGTATCAATTTCAAATAATTCGTTTTATTGAACTTTCAATTTTCATTAATTTAAAAGAATTTGCAGGCTCTTAAATGTGAAACAGACATCAAAGCTTGTTTGAAGAAAAAAACTGTCAATGAGATATATGAAGCCGTCGACAGAGTTGTAAGTACTTGCAACTACTTAATTAGTCCAGAAGATTTTTCAGAATTGAAATTCCGTAACCTCCTAGAATTCCTGATTTACCAATTTGGAAAGAGAGAAACATTCTAGCATTTGGTCGAAGCAATAATAAATTTGGCATCTAAATAGTTTTCTTACTTGAATTTTCGTGGTTAAAGAATTGAGTAATTTGAAGACTTTTAACCTTGGAAGTTTTGGTTCTACACCCTGCTTTTTTACATTAGAAAATGGTTTTGTTCGATCGTTACAAGTAACTACTATTACATTTTAAGCATTTTCATCAAATCGCAGTTTTTTTTCCAAATAATTTTTTGAGGCAGGGGTAGAACTTTCAGCAAAATTTAGCATAGGAGGGAGGAAGCATATAATTTGTAATTTTCAAAAAAGAAAGGAATCGCAGTTTAGCGTATGCTCTCCAAAAATCCAATAACAATCAAAAAATAAGTTGATTTTTATTTCATGGCACAACAACGGAAGGGCTCAGATTTGTTAAATGGGGTCCTGTCATTGATGACGAATTTCTTCAACATCCAGGCGAAATGATTGCTTGCGCTTTACCAAAACCGACGATGATTGGTGTTACAAATAAGGAGGCATCGTTATTTAGTAAGTTTTCAAGTAACTGTGATAGGCAGAAGTGAATACTCAATTTTGCCTATTATAATAATAGTTTTCTATGTTTACTGAGGGTAAGCAAAAAATGCATCTAGATTTTTTTATTCTTACTTTCTTACCTTTTCTTCTGAGCGCTGTTTTGTATGTATGATCAGTCTCTTTATAAACTTTTTGCATCATAAAGGCCGTTTTTTCTAGTTTCTTAAGTATGTCTTCGTACATTCCGAAACCTTACGAATTCAAATAAAAGAGACTTTTAACCCCAACATTTTTGCCTTATACTTTTTTGCCCCGAATCCATGATGGATAGCCGGATTAATGCTAGAAAATATGCGTGAGGATTAGGAAGCTTTGCGCTACAAAAGGGATTTTGAGCATAATTTGCCAGGAACTCCGAACCGAGAGCTTTAATCGCGACTTACATAATCGTCGGGGGCATTATGGCAGAACTTTTTCTGTGTCCAGCAAAGGTAGATCTCGTTCAATTGATGGTAGGAAAAAAGGTTTCCCCAATTTCCAGCGGAGAAAAATGAACTGATTTGAAAAAAGCTGATTTTTGAACCCTCCGAGATGCCAGAGAAAAGTGAGTACTTTCAACTTTTTCGCAATATTATTTTTCAAAAAAAAACTGTAAAGTCCAAGTTTGGCACACTGCTCAACAGACTCTGCAAATTTATCTTTACAAAAAAGAATGCTGCTTTTATTCAGCTCTACATCTTTGAAACAGGCTTCCAGTTTATGGATAATCAGACACACACAGGCTTTTTTTCTTTCAGTTCCATCAACTGGATGAGATCGATTCCCTTTAATCTTGAAGTTTTTCTATTTTATAAATTTTCTTGAACATCTTCACCAAAAGCAAGGTAAGAGCTCCCATGTTTCCATTTTTTTTCAAATTCGCAGGCTACTTTACTACAATTTTCTTGAAATCTGAGCTTGATTTTGCAATTTACAGTCGCCTGCTAATTCATTAGCTTACGTAGGGAACAATAACTCCGCAATTTACTTGGAAATCTGCATACCAGGCTGCGTCCAAAGTTGCCTAAGTGCCGGCGCAGTGCCAGCGTAGTGTCATTGCCGTGCCATTGCCATGCCACACGTATCATCGCGTTTTGATTGATCAATTTTTATTTGGCAAAGTTTGGCAATTCACTAGCACAGTGCTGGAACTGTCGCTGTCACGAAGAAATCAGTGCTTTACTTTTTTGAAGGAATTTTTTTTCAAAGTTGTACTTAAACCTGATATTCCATTGTGTTTATGCTTTGTTTTAAAACGTGTTTTCGCGTTTGTAAAGTTACTGTTGTAGCCATTCTCAATTCGACACCTATACTTCAAAAACTTGGGATTAATTCAACAGAATTCCATACATGGAACAGGACAGTGCTAATCAATAAGCTGGAGTTTAGTTTTTTGTAGCTACCTTACCATAATCTATCGTTCAAATCACTCCACTTTTAGGAGTTCATACGGTTGGTGTACGTGGGAGATCGTTTAGAAGATTTTACAAGTGACATTGTATCCTTTTACGTTGATAGAGATGAAGAACCAAAATCAGAATTCTATATCAACCGCTATACAGAGGTACGGCAAATTTAGGAATCCCTGAACGAAAATTTATTTCATACAGGTTTAGTTCGTTAGCAATCTGCTATTTGAAGCGGCAATCGTCGACGACATACAGTCTCGTCAGAAGGCTGGATGGACTGTGTATGCTTATATGCTTGATTACTATAATGATGCGATTTGGGGAGATGTTCCCAAAGCACTGAGAGGTCAGCATACTGTTTAGCTTTACAACACATCGCAAGATATGCACCAGTGACGGTCACAAATTTTTTTATTTTTTGATAAAATAGCGTAAAACATTGGTTCAATAATAAAATTGCGTGTTTTTAAAATTTTTTCCATTCCAATTTTCGCTCCATCGTTTGAAACATTACTTTGTAATTGGTTTATCAACATGATGGTCTTATAGGGCACTGCGTGATTGCGAGAGTGTGAGTTTTCATCGCACGCCCAATGTGCTTCTTCACTTATCTTTCCCCTCTATAAGCTTTCTGCTATCTATCAGATGCGAGCTTCAAGTAGTTTTAAAAAATTATCAGATTATCTATAGTGTGGACCTCGGCTAGGTTCCCATAGGTACTTCCGCAGCGCACACGCAGCGCGCGCCCTTCTCAATGTCTCTTGCCTCACTCATGAGCAGCAGAGCATATTTATGCTCACAAAGGAGAACGATGTAAAGTGGAAACCTCTAGGTTCCCTTTGAAAGAGACGTATGCAAGAATGAAACGCAGGCAACTTCCATGAATACCTCAAATTCAATCAATGGATGCATATTCCGAACTTGTACTGATGGATAGGTTGTGATAACTATACGTAGAAAAATTAAAGAACAACAGCATCCTTAAAACGTTTCTCTTCGTAAACGTAGAAACTAGAGTGGTCAAAGATTCCAAAAAAAGGATATTTCAGTAAACAAGTGCCTATTGGCTTCTCGGAAAGCTCAATTTAGACTTGAGACACTGTCTACAACTTACACATCAAACCGAAAGGGACTCCTATTTTATAAAAGAAGCTTTTGAAAAAATATTATCTTAATATCCAATCAAATCTCAATTTTTCAGAGAAAAAAAGGGAAAACACAAGACTACTATACAAGACTGAAGCTCGTAGAACTATTAGAGCACGTGAAATCTCGTCATCGGTCATCGCGAATTGTTTATACCTAAAATAGAGAGAATATAGTACACCAAAAACAAAAAAAAAGAAAGGAGGACTTCCATCAGAAGCTAGGACAGAAGACGCACTGAAGGCGTGCGTTGCGGGTGCGTCGCGCAGGTACCTATGCGAAGCTGGCCGGGGTCCACACTATATCTGGTCTAAGGCGTTGCGGTATGCTTGTGCAACGGTCGCAAACTCACTGACACACGCGATCACGCAGAGCCCAAGATCTTCTGTTGGTTCGTCGCCGACCCGAGCAAAACTCTGTAATATCTAATTTTTTAATTTTTTGCGGCTCAAAGGAGGTCCGCGATATTGAGCTGAAGAACATCGACTCTGGTCACAGCCCGTCTTTCCGCAATAATTAAAAAATTATCGTTAGATAATTGGAGAGTTGTTATGTTTGCTTAAAGACGGTCCAGTCTAAATTTAACCTTCTCCGCTTAGTTCCGATCCTAACTGTAAGCCTCAGGGGAGAGGCATCTGCGTTGGCCCGGTCCTCTATTGTTGTCTCTGAATGGAGGTAATGGGCCTGAAACAGCCAAAGTGCTATCAAGGCCCTCCCAGATCCTATCAAGCTCCGCCCACTCATGTACTGAAAGCCCCCTCAAGACAGGGTCCCCGAAATCGGTTTTTTGGGGGGGGGGTACAATTCAATCTTCTGTAATCAGAACCACGGAAAGGCTCCAGAATGGTAAAAACATGGGAGGCGAAATTTTGGGTGGACACTGAATTCAAAAGGCTGCCTTTAACTTCGCTGCTTGTTCATCAAAATCTTGCTTTCTAAGACTCTCATTTTGGGGCCTTTCGTGGCTCTGATTAAAGATTTTAAGTGTAAAGTGCGCAAAAGCCCCAAAAAGATTTCTGGGAGCCCTCTCCTGAAGGCACAGATGAACTTTAAATACCTGGATGGGCGGGGCTTGACAGGTTGGGGCGTGGCTTGTTAGCACTTTTATGGGTTTCAGGTCCATTACTTCACTCAGAGGCAACACTGGAGGGCGGAACAAACGCAAATGCCCCTCCTCCTAGGGTCTACATCCAGGCTAGTGGTGGAGAGGGGTAGGCTAAGTTTTGCTTGGACGCTGCTTTTGGTCTCGAAAATTCGCTTATTGTTTGTTATTGGTGTGGAACTCATAATCTCATTTTTTGTATATGATATGTCAACAGAACACAACATCACAGCTTGGAGTTAATCACTACTGTTCATTTTGAACATAGATTGAAAATTGAATTGATTTGAACTTTGTATAATTGGAAAACCAGATTTGTTCGCGTTTTTTGTGGGCTATATCAAAGCGAATGCTAATCAATAAATATTATAAAGGATAAAGGATAAAGGATTCGGCGTCTTCAATACCCTCTGAGGGCATGCGCCGAACGCACACACTAACTTCATGGTCGAAGAGGCAACTGTATGCGTGCGAGCCTATTACAGTGACTTAAATTTAAATATTATGGCTTATATTTTCGAAAAACGCATCTTTTATGCTTCAGGAGCGCCACATGCCAGCGAATACCCCTACGTCCATGGCATAAACGTTTTGAGCCCATTTGAATTCAACGAAGACGATCGGACAGTCGCGAATTTTTTCCGAGAATCGTTGGTCGAATTTATCAAGACAGGGTGTGATATTACTCAACATAATTGAAACCCTGCTTGAAAAATCTGTTTAGGACCCCATCACATCATAATAAATCTTGGTTGAATATCGGCAGTGATCCAAATATCCGTTACACTCAAATAACTCCACATCCACAGACGAATACAGGGTTTTTCAACTGTAAGTTCATATCGCTGTCTTTCTTATTGCACAACCGTAGATCGGGTACTGACAACCAAATTTTTTTCTAATAGACAAGGTGAAAAGCAGCACATAAGCGGCAACTTTCTCAAAATATATATAGAACTAGTTGACTTACCCGGCTCCGCCCGGCCCTATCATTATTATATTCGTAATAAGCATGCTCGATTACCCCCCTGTGCCAACTCCCAGCCCCGTAGCTCAAATTTTGCAAAAATCGATAAAATCGATATCGATCGATGACGAAAAGTAGCCTATGACACCCGCCGGGGCCTGAAGTGTATGTGTGCTAAGTTTGGTCCCGATCGGTTCAGAAATGGAATTTTCTATTCGGAACATACGTACACACATACAGACAGACAGACATACAGACATACAGACAAACAGACATTCAGCTTTATATATAAGATTCTATCTACTCATAGATGAATACAAGTTACAATCTAAGACAACTCTTTTTTTACAGTGACTGCTGCCTTTTGGCAAAGAATGCGATTGTATGATTACGACATGGTCCAGCTACTACCTAGAAACGAAAGAAAAGCAGCATATTCTCAATGGCTCTATGTTCCGTTTGTGACTTTAGTCTGGTTCATTTGTTATCAGTTTCTTATTTGATGATGATAAACTGTGCTTAACATTCAAAGTATTTATGATAGCTCGGCAAGGTGCATTTTTCGATGTCTATAAGTGTCTCTTTGGGCACTGTAATAGGTCAGATTTTACAGATTTTCGCTTACTGTAGTTCGCGGACTGATCCTTCAGCTTCCCACTTCGGTGGATACTGCTCGCCTGCTCCGGCGCGTGGGAACCTAGGAATCCTCCCGTGAAAAGGTCAACGTTAACTATCGGCAAATGAGGCTTGTCATCATAATTCAGGCATAACCGGCATCGCGCAAGTCTTTTTATGGATGTAACAGTTCCAGCTATGAAATGATGATAGCATCGACACATAATACGATATTCCACGGAGCTACAGTCGAAGTGTAGCTCCGCAGAATATCGTGCTTACCGCATCGACCAATAACACAGATTTCTAAAGCCCACCATTTATCCTTATGTCACCCTATCCTCAAGCACAAGGGATGAGTGCAACCGATCTCAAATCCTAAGGGCCAGCAAGTCAGAGAACCATGAAGCGGCATCGCCGACGTGTGTCGGCGCGAGCGCACCCCAAATTACTTCGCAGTTAGCGGGCAGATCTGAGCATCCTACTGTGGCAAGACTCTGGAAAGATCCGTGATAGTTGGACCGTCTACCGTACTCAAACAAACAGTAGTCAGGCAATGTACCCCGTCACGCTGAGTTAACTAGTGCTTTCAGATTTAGACATCTTTCACTCTGGACAAGCAATGACGTTGCGACGCGAAGATCGGACGGCGGAGTACGACGATTTTTTCACACATCACACGGTTTTGTATGCTTTGAATATTGATTAAGGGATATGACTACGAGAGATTAATGGCTGCATAGGGCTAAATCTCTTTTTCCGTGATTTGATAGCGTTTCCTCTCCTTCTTGTGGCCTAGCTTTGTATCACAAGGGAAATGAAGATGAAAATGAGAACTGGTACTTTACAAAGTTTGAGGAGCAAATAGAAAATTGTTCTCAAAGAATTAATTTTAAAAATTCTCGAAAACTTCCTTTTCGTAGGGAAAAAAGATTTCCGAAAGACGAAATTTTTATATAGCTAAGTTTAATATATGGAATATGCTATAAGTTGTTAATTTTTGCTGTTATCAATGCCAGAATCTTTGTCCCGGATTGGAAAACATATTAGATTGGCAAAGTTTTGAAAGTTTTGTCCGTTGTTTCAAACCACTATGAAACCACATACCATAAACGATTAAATAAGTTTCAACATGCATTCGATGCAGCTTTTCCTTCTTTTTCTTATGGATACATTTTCGAACCACAGTCTATGCTGATCATCGACACAGTCGAGCTGTAGCTCCGCAGAATATCGTGCTTACCGCATCGACCAGTAACACAGATTTCTAAAGCCCACCCATTTATCCTTATGTCACCCTATCCTCAAACACGAGGGATGAGTGCAACCATCTTAAATTCTAAAGGCCAGCAGGTCAGAAAACCATGAAGCGGCACCGCCGATATGTGTCAGCGGGGAGAGCACCCCAAATTATCTCGCAGTTAGCGGACAGTATCTGAGCATCCTACTCAGAGGTGCGATAGTCGGAGACGACTCTCCGCCTACCTTCACTTTTGAGCTGACCATCTTCACTTTTGGTTTGAAAATTTTTTTTGCTGAAGCTTAAAAGAAGGAAAATAAGAAAAAGGAACGCAAAAGAAAGTATTGAGAGCATATATCTATGTAGTAAGTTGATCTAGGCAGTAACCGCCGAGAACCAGAATTTCGAATGATAAAATAGCGAATAAATCATGCAAAATTTCACTGTTATAAATCTGGTGGTTGAAGATTTCAGCAGTTGCGACTTCATAGCTTTTAAAGGGTAAGTGTAGTTCTATCAGATAGTTAAAGAATCAGGTCGATCTGAGCAGTGACCGCCGAGAACGAGGATTTTAAAAAATTAAGCGATTTTAGGTTACTTAGTGACAGCTGACGTTCAGACTCCTATAAATCTGGAATGTGAAAGTGTGCAATGTTGCACTTCATAGGTTTTGTAGAGTAAGAATTGCTCTATCGGACTATGCCTTAGCCGTACCGATCCATCAAGATAGCGCCGAGATTCAGGCTCTTTAAAAAACAGGTGAAAGGCCGCTTTTTGAACTTCAACAGCTCATAACTTCTTCAGATTTGCATGAGTCATGTTGCGACTTCATAGGTTAGGTTCTTCTCATCAAGAGCTTTCAGATGATATTTAATATGTGGGGGGTTCAATGATTTTTGCGGCTTTAACCCAGAGTGGAGACTTTTCACCCCAAAGTCTCCGGCCAATACATTAACATGGGCGAGGTGGAGACTTTGGGGTGAAAAGTCTCCACCCTGGGTTAAAGCCGCAAAAATCATTGAACCCCCCACATATTAAATATCATCTGAAAGCTCTTGATGAGAAGAACCTAACCTATGAAGTCGCAACATGACTCATGCAAATCTGAAGAAGTTATGAGCTGTTGAAGTTCAAAAAGCGGCTTTTCACCTGTTTTTTAAAGAGCCTGAATCTCGGCGCTGTCTTGATGGATCGGTACGGCTAAAGCATAGTCCGATAGAGCAATTCTCACTCTACAAAACCTATGAAGTGCAACATTGCACACTTTCACATTCCAGATTTGTAGGAGTCTGAACGCCAGCTGTCACTAAGTAACCTAAAATCGCTTAATTTTTTAAAATTTTCGTTCTCGGCGGCCACCCCTCAAATCAAACTGATTGTTTCACTATCTCGTAGAACAACACTTACCCTTTAAAACCTATGAAGTCGCATTTGCTGACATCTTCAACCGCAAGATTTATAAAAGTGGAAATTTCGCATAATTTATCGTTATTTTATTATTCAAAATTCTGGTTCTCGGCGGTTACTGCCTGGATCGGCTTACTTCCTTCGCAGTACGTTATAACAAAATTTACCTGATAAAACCTGTAAAGTCTCACTGACTCTCACTTCAAAACACACCATTTACTAAACACGTTTGTTTTAAATATACATGTATGCCGCCGTATACATAAAAATATGCTTTCAGTAATCTTTTTTTGCGTTGTTTTGCTTATTTTCCGCGCACGTCGGCAATGACCTGGAAGGATAGGCTCAGTCGACGTTAACGCCCCCCTCCCGGTCGACGTTTTTGGGAGGTGAGTGTCCGGCACTACCACCTTCACTTTTGGCCGGCCAGTGGTAGCTGGAACCACCTTCACTTTTTGGGGGACCCGGCTCCACCTATCGCACCTCTGATCCTATTGTGGTAAAAATCTGCAAAGACCCGTGAAAGTTTGACCGTTTAGTACTCAAACAAACAGCACGTCAGGAGATGCATCTCGTCGCGCTGAGTTAACTAATGCTTTCGGATTTAGAATTCTTTTACCCTGGTAAGGGCTAAATTTCATTTTCCGTAATTTGAATCGCAGTTCCTCATTTTATTGCGGCTTTACCTTACTACTAGCTATGAAAATCACAAGGGAAATGAAGATGAAAATGAGAACTGGCATTTTACAAAGTTTGAGGAGCAAATAGAAAATTGTTCTTAAAAATTAATTTCAATAATTCTCAAAAATCACCTTTTTGTAGGGAATTTATATAGATAAGTTTTATACATGGAATCACTACGTAATATATAACGAATTCGTTGTTTACCCATTAAGCCGCCCGATAGTTGGATCATGGCAAACGAGGAGGCCGCAGACGTAAAAATTATAATGAAATACACTGATCCTTGGAATTGGATTGCTGCCAAGTGGCATGCGTTTTGGAACGCTGCCAAAATTCAAAACGAGTGACCAAGCATATTTTCGTAAAAGGGTCACACGGGTTTCGAAAGGCGATCATGAGTGTCGCAATGATTTTGAGACTGTGTCGCCAGTGTCCGGGTGTGTTATTTTTACCAGCTTTTTAAAATCGATTGTTATCCCAGAATGTGTCTTTCAAACATGTTCTACTCCTATTAGTTGCTTTTGAAATAATGCCAAATTGCGTGAAAGCGTGACTTGAGCTAAATTCATCTATATTCTCAAATCTTCGTAAAAATGCTCTAACAACAGTCCTTTAGGATTATCTTGCTTCCGCGTGTAGACAAGAAAGTGCGTGAATAACTTAGTCTCGCGCATGCACGGCAGTTTGAGAATACGCTGTAAATACTTGATTTCGTTGTTCTCTTTCTGTAGAGTCGTAAAATTGGCTTTTTATATATACGATCTTCGAGCGCACGTAAGGTATAAACTTTCTTTTTGAATAGTTACTGTCGGTTTGTAAGCGGCACGTAGGGCAACCCGATCGGGCAGGGAAACAGATTTTTGTATGTTATGGCAGTTCTTGTAATTTTTTACCGGTCTTCAAGCGGTACGTAGGGCATGAACTTTCTTTTTGAATAGTTACTGTCGGTCAGTAAGCGGCATGTAGGGCAACCCGATCAGACAGGGAAACAGATTTTTGTATGTTTGGGGCAGTTCTTATAATTCCTAAACGGTCTTCAAGTGGCACGTAGGGCATAAACTCTCTTTTTGAACAGTTACTCTCGGTCTGTAGGCGGCACGTAGGGCAACCCGATCGGGCAGGGAAACAGATTTTTGTATGTTATGGCAGTTCTTGTAATTTTTTACCGGTCTTCAAGCGGTACGTAGGGCAACCCGATCGGGCAGGGAAACAGATTTTTGTATGTTATGGCAGTTCTTGTAATTTTTTAACGGTCTTCAAGCGGCACGTAGGGAATAAACTTTCATTTTGAATAGCTACTCTCGGTCTGTAAGCGGCACGTAGGGCAACCCGATCAGACAGGGAAACAGATTTTTGTATGTTTGGGGCAGTCCTTATAATTCCTAAACGGTCTTCAAGCGGCATGTAAGGCATAAACTTTCATTTTGAGTAGTAACTCTCGGCCTGTAAGCGGCACGTAGGGCAACCCGATCGGGCAGGGAAACAGATTTTTGTATGTTATGGCAGTGTTTGTAATTTTTTACCGGTCTTCAAGCGGTACGTAGGGCATGAACTTTC